GTACCTCTGGAGATGTGCAATGGAGTGGCCCCGTCACTGGGATTTTAATTGTACCCTTCCTCCAATAACAGACCTACTTGGTATTCTTGGATCAACAAAAGATTCCAAAACCAATTATCAAAAGAGATCAGATGACACCTCGCTAACCTCCTCTCATATTATTCTTGCATCCACAATGAACGTCCATTAGCAAGTGTAAGATACCTGCCACAGCTCACATTTCATTCTCATCTCCTGTTCATGAATGTTTAGCCTCACTGCAAACTTTTCTTACTCTGATAATCAACATAATCCTTTATATTTTAAAAACAAGTATCATTTACCTGATTCAACAATACTCGTTAGAAAGTCTACTAGTTTTCAGGCGCGCTGGGGTAGATACTGAAAATATAATGGTGGAAAAGAAAAAGAAAATATGTCGAATATCCCCCTATGTAACACTAAAATAGGTATCAGTTTGTGCTGTGTATTGAACAATTCCAAACTTAGATGACATAACATACTACACTTAGTTCATATATCTGGGGGTCAGATGTTTTCTTTGTTTGTTTGTTTCTTTTTGTGCCTTTGTTTTATTTTGTGCTGTGTTTTTGTTTTGTGGTTTGTACTAGGCAGGGTCACATGTCTTCAAACACAATTGGATTAGTTGAGGCCTGGCTGGACTGGGCTGGCCTGATTAGAGATGAATTTCCTCTCCACGGCAACACAGACCTCTAGTTTGTTTCTATGGTGACAAAAAGGATCTCTCTTGTTTATATGATGGGCTTGGCTCCATAAAAGCATCAGGGAATTTATAACATTTCTAGAGGAGTACCCTAAAATTTGACCGACAACAGTATATTCTGTTGACTGAAACAATTTAGGAGGCCAATCTAAAACCAAAATTCAAGAGAAGCGAAATTAGGGTTTCCTTTGAGATTATAGGACCTGGAAATACATGTCTCCAAGGAAAAGAATAATTGCAAAGTGTTTTTTGTCTTTTTTTTTTTTTTTGTCTTAAATGCAATGATTTCTGTGTCATATCAACAAGACAGTCTAATGTCTGGGAGTCATCAAACATATTTGTCTAAGCATTGTACATTATGAGAAGTTTCCTTGAGAAAGTTTCACTAGGACTGTATGTGAAGGACAAATAAACAGTTTTCTCAAAAGCCAAGCAGAGGAGGAGTGCTGGTTTGAAGAACTAGGACATGGAAGTGTTTAACAGAATAAAGAACATGGGAAGTGTAAGAAACCATTGGTGGCCAGTGTAGCTTTGTTAGACTGCCAAAGAACACAGTTAGCAGGCATGTATGGATTGGAAGCTGGAAACCGAGTGTGTAGGACTCTATAAGTCAAAGAATTTTGATCTTATTATAATAATTACAGCCAACACCCATATTGGTTATAACTGTGTGGTGGGTGCATATTATTGTAAAGTCTTATGTGTTCATGTTTTAATCCTAACACAGCTGTATTTTTATAGCAGGATTCTGACAACATAAAAACTTACAATATTGTATTTCTTGTAATTATGAAGAATAATAAAATGTTATGAAATTATTTTATCGATGGTTACCATGGAGAGTTTTGTCTAAGGGGTCATTGTTAGTGCATAAATTCTGGACAATATTCTAATATCACCTAGGTAGAAATTTATTGTATTCCAAGCAACAGTGGGTGGTGGCTTAGATTTTGATGTTGCAGCAAAGAGTGAGAAAAATAATAATGTTAATAGATGTTATGAAAATAATATCAGCAAGTAAAATATACAATTGATAACCCTTAAAGCATAATGCTTGACAACTGTTCAGTCTGGTTGTATAAATAATTATAAAGACTGGCAAACATCCCATGAATTACTAATTTATTCATTTACTCATGGATACTTTCATCTATTCATGAAGATATGAAACAAATCTGGGAAATCTGAATTGCTTCATAGTATTTTTTCTTTTTTTTTTTAATTTTTTTTTGTCTTTTTTCTTTTTTATTGGTACTGGGGATTGAACTCACGACCACCTGCTTGCAAGGCAGGTGCTTATGCCGCTGAGCTAAATTCCCAGGCCCCATAATATTTTTTCTACTATGCATAAATTGTTATTGAGCTTCTAACTGAATACAGGTACAGATTAAATGTTGAGACTAAAACAATGTCAAAATATCAACAAAGTTTAAAAACTCCATTATTTCTACCATGCTGAGGGGTGGTGAGTGTTGTAATGAGTTTAAGCAGAATGTATGATAAAAAGTCTATACAGAAAGGACTCTGGCACACCAAGCAGTCGGGAAGAAGTATGGCTACTATTTATGAATAAATTAGTTTTTCACAATTTAAAATTAAGAAGTAAAAATTCTTATTGGTAGTAAGTTTTGTGGATCACTTAGATGAGCTTTTTTGCTCAAGGACAAAAGAATTAGAGCAAAATGATCAACTCTGCTGATTATCAGAACATGAAAAGCTTAAATATTGTGAGGTAATGGTAAGAACATTAGTGGCAAAAGCTGTGCGTAGTCCTAAGGCCAAGTGGGAATACACAAATTTCTTCAAAATAATTGACTCAAAGAAGTTCTTTGCTAGCAGTAGATTGAGAAGATTGGCAATTGCAGTTGTGCCTGAATCTGAGTGATATGCAGTGAAGTCCTTTGCTGTGTGGTGTTTTGTTGTTGTTTTGCTGTGCTGTGTTTCTAATGAAGGAATATATGCAATGGATGAAAACACCAATCATTAGAAGACAAGCAAGAGTGAAATAGAGTCAAAGAAAAATGAATGAAGAAAAACTGAAAAGTTAATGCATAAATACATGAGGCTAAATCATATTTACATTTCAGCATTATCAATTGCAGCCTGTGAAAAAGGGGTAAGATGTTGTCCAACCACCTTTGTTTATGTCCAAATTTAGATTTCTGCGGTATAAACATAAATCTACCACATGGACAGAGAGGTGATCATAATTCCCTGGCCTCACGGTCTTCACACATCACCTCACAACACTATATCACAGTATACAGATCATTAAAAGAGGGGAAAAGACAGAAGCCCAAATGATTTCTACTGAATAGTAAGAACAAATGTGTTTACAATGCAAAAGCCTCTCTCCAGGCACAGGACCATGAAGTTGTAGTCTGCAATGTTGCCGAGCTGAAAATACATTGCTTTTCCTTGGTTTTGAAAGTTTTTATTCATTTTATTTGCAAGCAAGCATGAACGAAACAGTTTCTGATAAACTCCAAAGCTGTTTTACCTCATTAGATTGGATGACAGATGAGATCTTACAGTCCACATCAAATCAGTGGAAAAACAATTATCTGTAAGCAGTATGTGCAAACATTTTCCTATAAAGTTAGAGATTCAAGGCAACGTGTCTGGAATGCGCTTCTCCCTTTAGACTGCTTGCATTCCACGAAACATCTGTCTCAATTTCCTCTCTTTTTTGAGCCTTCTTTTGTTTTTTCTGCAGATCCATTCTTTCTGACCCTACTGATGGGAACCATATGTCTCTTTGTTTAAAGAGATGTCCACAGTCTCCTCAGCTGGAGATTTCTGGCCAATCTTTACAGTATCTGCCTGCATGCCCCCTAAAATATCCAACACTGCCCAATCTTTTCCTTTGTTTTCTTGCTTTTAAGTGTTTTAAAATAAGCATTAGCACATCCATTGATTCTTCTCAGCAAAATCACTACAGTTAAGCATGGAGCTGCGGATTAAATATACCTTAAACAAACAAATTTTTCCTTTACTTATAGCTCAGTCAGGACTTGCTGACTGCGTATTATGCTACAGCCTAGAGGTAGAAGACAGAAGACACAGCTCAGAGTTGAGCAGCTAATAGACTTGCCGTGCATGAAACTGGTGAAATAATTGCAGTGCATGTTAGGAAAAGCTGGAAAAGAGCTTATGTAAGAACAAAATAAGTTTCAGCCTTTCTTGTAGAGGACATTTTCATTTATTAAGTGATACACTAAAATATATAAAAACAGCATTAATTAATGAATAAAACTATAAAATTTTATGATGATCTAAAAACAACCACGTTTTAACTAATACCATTAAATGTATTTTCATAGATGACAATAGTAATTTGCTCATCATTTTGATATTAAATAATTTAGAAAGAAATTTGTGTTTCTTCCCTTTTTATTTTGGAATTTGAACAAGGAAGATAGAAAGCAGTAGGGATCCATACGGATAAGGGCTGGGGGAAGCTGAGATTTCTTGACGGGAAGGACAAGGAGTGGATTCTGGATGTTTCCACTTCTACTGTCTCAAACAGTTTCTCAGTCCAAGCATGTCATCACGTCAGAGAGGAAGCCACATGCTAAGAAGCACAAAGGAATAAACTCTGAGAGGAGCCAGCTGATAGTGACAGTGTGCTCTAAATTCAAGGTGTAACCATAAGGACAAAAATTCTTAATTTAAAAGTGCAAATAAGAAGAAAAAGGAGCACGTGTCACCTAAAATTGTATAGTAGGTATAGTGGAGAATCGAAATTTCCATCCCATCTTGAACGAAATTAGCCATATCCTATCTCAAAATTAAAAATTAAATAACAAGTGCAGTCTGAAAATTTCCTGAATGTTATTGCATTTATTACTTGCCTTATTGTCAAAATTCTCAAGTTGAACATGATTTAGAAAATATATGAGAAATTATATATTTGAGGATTTACTTTGCATATTTTCACAACCATGATCCATTCTTGTAATTCTGTGTATTATTAGGGAACAATTAACAGGGTTTTTTAAAACCTGTGAAATGAATATATATATATATATAGATGATATTTAAAGAAAATATCAAAAAGATAAAAAAAGAGATTTGGAAATTTCTAAGATTTAAGAAACAAAGCTCATTACAAACAATATCACTTAAACTATCTGTGCTAGCCCAAGCCGGCCAGATAATGTTGAACTTCAAGACAACAGCGCCACCTTGTGGCAATGGCTGATACATTTTAAATTTGCCGCTGCCATGCAGCGTGACTGAGGTTGCCTGACTGTACTCTGTTTCTTTTCCCCAGGTTGAAAGAGTGACAGTGATGCCTTCGGGGAGCAGAGAGCTCCTCACTCCAGCTCCACAGTCAGAGGAGATGCAGGAGGAGGATGAGGAGGAGGAATCCACCCCCGGGCTGGTAGATGGCTCTTCCCCACAAGAAACAGAGTTCACAGGGGTTCTGGGCCCACACACCAATGAAGGTCTGGTACATCGGTGCTGAATAATAACTGAGTCCACTTTGTTTTCTCCCCAAATCACCGACCTCCAAACTCCCCAAGGATCCCACGCTGCAGTACAGTCTTCCCCTGAATCTGCTGCCTTCCCAGCCCTCCCATTCAATCTCCTCACACCTCATCAGACAACCACAACTGCAGCCTCTTAGGCTTTCCCCATCTCTTAATTCGTCCCTCACAGGCAAGCAATTCACGAGCTTTGTCTACACTTGCTGTCAAGTTCTCCTCCAACTTCCCCCCAAAAAATGGCTGTAATCTGGCTTCTAGCCTCATCGTGCTTCAGACCCTTTTCCTTGTCTCCCATAATTTTGGTGGAGAGCTAAAGAGTCAACATTAAGACTAGATTTTCTATCCACAAGTTACTTGACAGCTCATCAGCATTACAGGCTTACTTTCTTTGCAAACCTTCTCTCCACCCTGCTTCCAAATTTCACTATCCCACTTTGTGGCCTTGTGTCCGATCACTACTTCTCTATTTTCTTGAGAAGTTTACTGTTCTCTGCGTGGCTAATAAACGCAAGAGGGGCAGGGATGTGTGTGTGCCTGTGTGTGCCTGTGTGTGCCTCTGTGTGTGTGCGTGTGTCCATGTGATACAGAAGAAAAACTAACTTGACGTGTTGAGATGCAGCACAACCTCACAAGCATCTTTAGATTGTTAGCTCCTCTATCACTAAGTCACTAACCTGATTTAATTCTAAAATTAATCCAAATTCTAAATTTTATTTATACTACATCTCGTTTTCATTCTCCACACTGCTGTCTTTGTCTCTCCCAACACCTTCAGATAAAGTCATCTCCAAACATGCAAATCAGATCATGCACTCCTCCTGCCTATTCATGGATGAAGGGCCAAACCTGTAACCAGCCCGTAATGCTCTTGCATAGGCCCCGCCAAGGAGTCTCGTAGACAGACACCATGGCACACACACTAAGACTCTCCTAGCTGTAGCCACGTAGACACCTTAGAACCACTCCAAAGTGGAAGAACTTGGCACAGACCGCTTCCTGTGTCTGACTTACTCTTCCTTTTTACTTGTGCAAGTAATTTCTTCTCTTGCTGAAGATATCAACTCAATTATCATTTCTCAAAAGAATGTTCTTTCATCACCCCTGACTGGGCCGAATCCCATAGGTTACGCTCATACGATGCTTCGTGACATTTAGCATAGTCAAAACCTAATTTATTTATGTGATTAACATTCATCTCACATAGCAGATCATAAAATAGAACTGTGTCCACTTGTGCTCATGGCCATTTCACTTGGTAGAGCATTTACATAAAACGTATTCAATAATATGTGATGAAGTAATAAATGTTAATTATTATTAAATTTTGATTTGGTTGGAAGTTTAAATATTGAATCAGTTTGCATGTGATATTTTATAAAATTCCCAATCTTGATATTTATATCTGAAAAACAATTTTTATGGAGTATAAAAGTAATAAGGCTATATCCATCTATAATTCAAAGTAAATTTCTAAAATGTTGAAGTGGCTTTAATCGATACGTGGATTTTACTATTCCATTCATAGAAAATACACAAGAACTATAAAATATATCAGGCTGTGTCCTGCACGACTGTAATCTTGTTTACCAAGTATTTCTTACTGCATTATTTCCTAGAAGTTTTTGAGGCTGACACACACTTGTTTGCCTTTACCTTTCAGACTTCCCCACCTGTCTTCTGTGTACTTGTATAAGTGCCACCGTGTACTGCGATGACCGTGAGCTTGATGCCATTCCTCCTCTGCCCCGGAACACTGCCTACTTCTATTCTCGCTTTAACAGAATTAAAAAGATCAACAGAAACGACTTTGCAAGCCTAAGTATGGGTGACAGCATTAATGTCCTTCTCCTCTTTACATACTTCCTTAGCATCTGTGTGGGGTAAAGGTTGGCACTGAGAACAGAAATTGAACAACAAACTATGGTTCATGCATCCATCATTTCCTACTTAAGTATTTGAAAGTTTGTTTTCCTAATGGCAAGAAGAAAAAACCAGAAATTAATGGTCATCACAAAACTATACAGCCGTTGGTATTCCCAAATGAGCCATTTTCAAGTAAACATAAAGATAATTTTAGTTTATATGTTATAACTTATCTTATGACATTCAGAATAAAATGTCATGGTCATAGATTTAGAGAATCCAGCTGCTTTGAGCAAGCAGTAATTAAAGCATAATAATTTTATGATTAATGATGTAAGCCTGAATTCTGGCTTTATTGTTGTTGCCAACTTAGAAGAATTTGTGCAATAGCTCACTCACTTTGTAAGATAATTCAATCACTTAATGATTTGCTTTTAATTCCTGTATCTTTGGATATTCTTTATTGAGAAAAACATTTAGAAGAGTAAAATCCAGACACAATTTATGAAGTGTGCAGAGAAAAAGACCAGTTATTTTAGTAAAATGTGCCAACTTGTTGGCAAAACTTGCAATTTCTTATAAATGCATGACTGCAAAATGCATTTGGAAATGACATTTTCATAACACAGCTAGGCCTAATTATTTCATTAACTGTGCATTGCTAAATTCAAATTTACTGCTTCAATACCTAGAGAATTTTCTATTCCTATCAGCAAACCATGTTCACGAGTACTTCCTCCTCCGTTTTTCTCCTTCTAGATGATTTAAAAAGGATTGATCTGACATCAAATTTAATATCTGAGATTGACGAAGACGCATTCCGAAAGCTGCCTCGACTTCGAGAACTTGTCCTTCGTGACAACAAAATCAGGCAGCTCCCAGAACTGCCCACCACTCTGACATTTATCGACATCAGCAACAACAGACTTGGGAGGAAAGGGATCAAACAAGAAGCGTTTAAAGTAAGTTTTGCATTTCATGAGGAAGACTTTCCCCTTTCTCCTCCATTCGCTGTTGATGGCCAGCTTTTTTATTTCTACGACAGGATCTAATCTAATGAAAAATCTAACTTCCAAAATACACTTCACTGCCATATCTTTCATGCTTTTGAAAAATGCTGTGCACTGGTACAGCCTGTACATTCTGAAGATAGTCAAGTACCAGGAACATAAAAGAAAGAAGAGCTGTAATATCAAGTGGGTGTCTACTTGGAAGGGAACAATTTGCATTTGCCCAGAACTCCACTCAGAGAGAGCAGTGCACACGGTTGAAATGATAACTACCTGGGAAGCAGGGAGGACAAGGCTCACGTTGACTTTAGGGGTGCTACTTTCTAAGTAAAGAACCCCAGTCTGCAGCTAGAAGACTTGCTTAAAAGCAGCCTGTAGTCTGAGAACATTAGATGATTGGTTTGTCACTCATCCTTGTTCTTCCTCCAGCAAATGATGTTAAAATACTCTTTGAAGAGATCCCATGTGATTCCCAGGGAATGCAGAGGGAGGAGTGTGGCCTCCTCACACCGCCCCTGTGTTAAGCTTCCTGAGTGTGTTTTGTAAGAGAATTAGGACACCTCACTACAGGCCCCAGTAAGGGACAAAATAGGTCAGGGCCATTGATGGAGAGTCACGCTTTTTCTGTGAAGTTCAGCAAGAGTAGGCAAGTTATTGTTCAACAGCTTTCTGTCTTACTGAGCTGTCTTGCTCTTTGTGAGGCTACAAATTTTAGGGGGAGAAATTCTCTCTTTTTTCATGACTATAAAATAAACTATTGCTACCTCTCCTGGATGCCATCAGCATCCTACTAAAGAATGGCTTTCATGGGAAGTGGCTGCCTTGCTTAAATGAGAGAATTGTATTGAACTAAGCAAGATTTTTCCTGGAGACCAGGAAACACTTTACTTGCTGCCATATTTTTTCCTAAAATTAAACAATGGTGTAGTAATATGTGCAGGAATACATAGTATTTCAGACCTAGTCACATGGAGGGGAATTTCTGTTAAGTTCCTACATTTGGACTATTTACAGGATATGTATGACCTCCACCATCTCTACCTCACTGATAACAACTTGGGCCATATCCCTCTGCCACTCCCAGAAAACCTTCGTGCTCTTCACCTTCAGGTAGGTGTACGGCAGCCAGAAAAGGTCAAAAGACCCAGTCAAAACGGAGGAAGGAAGCTCGGGCACAAAAACCTGTCTCTAATGGCATGCTGATATACTGGGACAACTTTTCTGCTTTATCATTTCTTTTTCTCATTCATTATCTCTGAGAACAAGATACATAATCATTAGTAGCCCTGTTGACCGTGCTAGATTTCTGCTGACCAATATCTTTATTTTTCTACTTTTCCAAATCCAAATGCATCCTTTTGGTGCAAAGAGTTTCCCTTACAGCAATGCTGAAATCTGCATCAGATTTTAAAAACAATACAGATTAGAAGTAAAAGAGTAAAAAGAGAAAGAAAAAAATGGAATTTGACTACGAGCTCAGGGAAAAATGTCAGTTTCAGCTTTGGGTTTTAAATTTTATATACTGGATTATACACACTCCTCAAGCATCCTGTTTGCCAAGAAATAACAAGCTTGCATTTGTTTGCAAAGAAAATGCTGTTGTTTCTTTTCTCTGCAGTTCTTTTTACCCACATATTTGAAAGTTTGTGTTATTTTTAATACTGTTAAGCTGTATTTTATCTTTGAAGAAGTAAGTAAAAACACATTTTCACAAATGTTATGATCTAATAGTTTCTAAGTATATTTCATTTGTATCCAAGTGATTACAATTTGCTCAACTGAAACATTTTTGGTTACTGAGACAAAGAAAGATAAATTACTGCTTATTCAAATGTGAGTAACTTTTGCTCAACAGCTGTAATCAGCTTTCTGCAATAATTTCCTCTGCTCTATGGAATAAATATGTAGAGAAGACATCCATTATGTGGTCTAGGAAACATCACAGTCCAATATTATAATTCTAGCAGAAGAAAGTATCAACTACTCTAAAAAGTAATTTCTATGTAGAAACAAATGTATGGTTCTTATATTTTTTGCTGAAATATTTGCTTCTTTATCTTTCTTTTCTTGTTATTAATATGCACTTCCATATTTTAGTGTCCTTTGTATACATCTGTCTGAGGCTTGGATACCTGTCTCTTTTGTGAATTTTTATGATTATGTTTACTTCTTTAATATATTCTCTCTAGACTTCATTCTGTTTCTCGATAATTCTTTTCTGGGGGAGTGAATTTACATTTATATTTATGTTTCTTGCGTTGTTTATGATTAGAGATAGGATGATCAACAGAATCATCAAAGAGAGTTTGGATTGTGTTTTCCAGTTATGAATTACATTTATTACAGTGGTCTGTGATGTATGAACCCTGAAAAGTAATCAAGTCTCTGTTGTTTGGAATATGACGTGTGTATATGTACACTATGAGATGACTTTCTAAGTAACTGGCTGTACATTCCTATTGTAAGTTTTGAAAAATATTAACTTCACTTTTCAGAATTTTCTCAGTCAATTCACCAACTTTTAGCACAAGCTGTTTAAAATTTAATGACCTTCAATGTGTATGGAATTTTAATACTCATAAATTATTTTGAAAATCAATATGGAAAAGATCAGCAAAACAAGTATAGCATTAAAACAGAATGCTTGGACAAAAAGTTATATACTGGGGTAATTATCTTGTACTAACAGATCATCTAGCTACAAGAACAGTATTAAATAGCATAATTCAACAACACTCTAATTAAAGACTAACAGTCATCTACAGAATATTTGATTCAACAATAGCAGAATGCGTTCTTTCCGAGTACACAAAGAACATTGCCTGGAGTGGACCATAAGCCAAGTCATACAAGGTGCAACAAATTCAAAAAACAAATTAACAAAAAATATATTTTCTAATTTCAAAGAATTTACATTAGAAATCAGCCTCACAGGAAATGTGAGAAATTCACAAATGTGTGAATATTAAACAACTTTCCTTAACCAATGGTCCAAAAAGAAATCTCCAACTAGTTAAGAAGTAACCTGAGACAAATGAAAAAGGAAACACATGACAAATTATAGAATGGAGTTAAAGTAACTATTAGAGAGAAATTGCTGGCTGTTTGTATCTTTATCATCAAGATTAATATTGGACTTATTACAATGGATTAAGAAAAGGTTCTTCTTAATTTTGAATAATTCTGAGTGATTAATATTAATTCTTCTTCAAACATTTGGTAGAATTAATCCATAAATATATGGTACTGAGTTTTGCTTAGATTTTAAATTACTACTGAAATTGAATAAAGAGTAAATATAAAATCTGAATAAATCTATAAGAAAGAAAATATACTCAGTAATTTAAAATCTTAGTGTCAGTAACAAAGATAAAGATATTACTAGCAAAGAAGTGAATATCCATATCTTTTACGTGTATAATGCAGAAGTCCTCAGCAGAACACAAACAAATAAATCCACCAACATACAAAGATGACAGTGTGACAAAGACCGATTTATCAAGGGAATTCAAGGATCGTTCAGAATTTCAAAATCAAGGAGTGCAATGTACCATACTCTGATAGTGTAAATATATAAGTAACAGTTTAAATATAATATGAATGTATTCTGATACAATAACAAATGGACAACCTCGGGTCAATAAACAGCATTTATGAAAAAATTCTCTACACCTAATTCGATGGAGAACTATCAGAAGCAAGATGGAAGTATCTCAGTCCTTCTCCTCGGTATTGTACCTGGCAGACCTAGCTGGGAAGACAAGCAAAAATAGGTAAAATAAATACACAAAGAGGCAAATAAATATTATCCAAATGGAAATTGAAGTTTTGCTATGTCCAGATGATAAGATTTATATGCAAAAAAGTCCTAAATGCTCCACAAAACTCTGAACTAATAAATGCATGCCCTAATATGGCAAGGTAGAGATGACTATATACCTATCAACTGCATGTTCATGCATTATCAGTAAATTATATGAAAATGAAACTAAAAATTGTATTTTAATAGGCAAACTAGGCTACATATTTAAAACTAAATTTAACAAAAAAGTAGAAAACTTTACACATGAAAATATAACACACTATTGAAAACAGAAAGTTCAGATAAACATGTCCCAAAATTCATGGATCAGAAGACAGTATTATTAAGGAAGAAATACTTTTAAAATTAGTCTTCTAATTTTGTGTACAGCATACTATAAAAATCCACTAAACTTTTAGGATGATCAAGGAGTTCATCAATGTAATAGGCTATAAAATCAATATAAAATTTCAATTATAGCTCAATATTCTGGCATTAAAATTACAATGTGATATCATTCACACCCAGTGGATTGACTGAGGTAAAATAGAAAATTACAAGTGCTGGTTAAATTGTAAGCAAAACTGGAACACTCATGTATTTTTATGAGGGTCTACAATGATGTAGCCACTGTACAAAACAATTTAATCATTGCTTTAAAGTCAAACATAGTTGTTACATGGATGCACAATTCAATGTCCAGATCTATAAGATATGACCGATATATACAGTGAATAACTAAATTTTTTACAGCTTATAATAGTAGCAGACACACTGCCACTATCTTCCTCAAACTCCCACCCATATTACCTCATCCCTGCCTCTTTCTGAAGCACTTGTGGAAATTCTCTTTTGTGAGTGTCTTTATGAGTTACAAAAAAGTAAAGTAAAAAACCAAACAGGAAGGGCGATTTGAAAGATCATTATAATGCGTCCCCACCCACCTTATTCAGTGGATCTGGCACCATCCACCTTCTGGTTCTTCCTCCAAATCAGAATGCCCATGAAAGGTAAGTGATTTGAATCAATTCATATACCAAAGCAGCCATGAAAGCACAGCTAAACACAGGAAAGAGGACTGCCAGAACTACTTCGTAAAGTAGCCGTGAAGTTCAGATAAACTCGCTAAAAGAAAGCAGTATTTTGAGGGAGATGAACGGCGATGTGTATTTTAGTGTAATAGGTTTTTGAAACTTAAACATTGACTGTAATTTTAGATCACATGTCACATGCTCAGGGCAATTACAAACGTGCCTCCATATAAAACCTGTGCAAAAATGTTCCTAGAAACATTCCTTGTGACAGCTATAAGACATTATTCATAAAAGTCAAAGTTGGATTTGAAAACAATCCAAATTTTCATTAACTGATGAATAAACAAGAATATATCAAGACAATACAATACGCAATACTCTCTGGCAATAAAAAGAATGAAATATCAGTATTTGCTGCAATATGTATGAATTTTGAAAACATGATACTAATTGAAAAAGTCAGTCACAAAAAGTAACATATGAAATAGTCATGGCCTTTGTATATGAAAATCCCAAAATAGAGAAATCTATAGAAACAGGACGCAGATGAGCATTTTGCAGGGAACTGACAGTGTATAATGCATGTTTATTGTTAACCGCTTGTATTTGAGATTTTTTTGTAGGTGTTGAAAATATTCTAAAATTAGATTGCAGTGATGGTCACACGTTTCTGAACATACTAAAATGATTAAATGGTACACTTGAAACACAGTAGATGAATTTTAGAGTATGTAAAATATATTCACAGAAACTGTTTTTAAAACCCCAGTTCCAGGCCCCACCCGTCTTACTGACGTTTGCTCCATTCCGCTCTCAGGCCTCTCGAGCCCCGCTGACTTACAGGTTTACTGTTGAGGGAGAGGCTTGTCATGCTACCTCTGTGGACCTTGCACTGTGTGCTTTCTCTGCCTAGGATACCATTCCCTTAGTTCTTCCCTTGCCTGTCTTCTCATTTCTTTCTCAATTCGATTGTTAATTTTAAGATAACTTTTTACAGCCTCTATAATTTCTTCCTAGTACAGTGGCACTTCAGTTCACAAACTTAATTCTTTCCACGATCTGGGGAAAAATGCCCAGGGTCCACGTCCAAGCCGGAAAGATGCCCAGAGTCCTGTTTGTCACCCTATGTGAAGTTTGTGAACAAAAGCAAAATTTTGCATAAAGCTTCTGTTTGGGGCTGGCATTTAAATCCTTTTAAATTGTTCTTCTAGATTGTTCTTATCTAAGTAGCCTCTATTTGCCTTACCGAAGTTTAGGGTCTGTAAAGGAACTGTGTGCCTTTATAAAAAATTTATTCTCATTAACTGGCAAGAGCATGGTACATAATATTCACATAATGCCTACGTTAGACTATGGGGAGGCATAAAAGAAAAAAGTGCATGTATAATAAAGTAGACTACAATACAAATCGGTTTTAATTATATGCTACACATTGCCATATAACTGATTTTTCTTTATTTTATTTTAGAATAACAACATTCTGGAGATGCATGAAGATACTTTCTGCAATGTTAAAAATTTGACATACATTCGTAAGGCCCTAGAGGACATTCGATTGGATGGAAACCCCATTAATCTCAGCAAAACTCCACAGGCGTACATGTGTCTACCTCGTTTGCCTATTGGGAGTCTTGTCTAATTTCTGACAAGATAATTAGCCTGATGATATCTACTACATCAGAACAATTTTATTTCCTCAAAACAATACTTTAGCATGATAATATTTTCACACTACTATATGCTGAAAGATGACATGATTACACAAAATACAACTAAAAGTGTTAAAGTATGAAGAAAACCTAATAATTTAAGAAGTTTTAGTAATTCATATGCTTTCTAACTTCAAATTTAGTATAAAATGAAGAAAAATTTGATGTTGAGCAGTTAGGTATTTTTTAAAGATTTAGATGTTTTAATTAAACTTTCCTAAACTTTTTCATTAATGCATGTTTTTTTTTCTTAGTTCATTAAAGAGCATGAAGAAAGAAAGAAATGCTTGAAAATTAAAATGATTTTGTGAGGGTATATTTGTTATAATTGCAACAACTGTATCCAAATAACTATATACAGCAATACATACACTTCATATTTGATGATAACATATTATCATTTTAAAGAACTATAAACTCATTTTAGACCTTTGCAACATTTATTAGGTAGTTGGAATATTTTTGTGCCTACAGAAAAATAAAATGTAAAAAATGAAAAATATGGATAATATGCTAAGCAGACTAGGACATAATAAACATTTTGTAAGAACAGCTGATGTACCTAAAGGCTAGATAGTGCTAACACAGGCACCTGGTTAAAAACTGGAAAGGAAAGAGAGTCTTCAATGAAAAGCGAGCTCTTTTAAGCTTTAAGATACCGAGCTTTACTCACTAGAAATAATAGTTTCCTGCACAGCTTTGCGAAATTCTCTCTGAAAAACAAAAATCTGCATTCATCATCTCCTCACTTTGACACAAAGATATATTCTTATGCTACATTTACACAGGTACCACTATTTTATATATATCCATAAATATAAGCATGTGATTTTTAAGTACAAAAGACAGTAGCTACTCTGAGTTTTGCTTGTTTCATGTAAAAATATTTCTTGGCAATATTTTGATGTTATCACAGCTGTACTGATTCCAAAAACCAAATAAGCTTCCATTACATGAATGTATGTATTTTGTATTTACACTAAAACTGCACAAAATTTCTTGCTTGATGGTGACTAACTTTGTGTATGTGGGAGCAAACATCTGTGAATAAATTCTCAGAAGCAGAGTTCTGTGTAAATGACTATTTTAAATGTTGGTAAATGCTATTAAATTACATTTAAAAGGTATTTTACACACTTATACCTTCACCTACAGTATGAGAGAGTACACAGTGCCTTACAATGTCACTTTATGGTTTATTATCAAAGTTTTTCTGGATTACATAATCTATTTTAAGCTAATAAAGTTAAAAGAGATAGAGAAGCATGCATGTAAAATTTTAAAAATCAGTATTTTTCACCTATTTCTACCTTTCAATCAAATATATATATATATATATATATATATATATATGTCTAAATAATCTAATTTTTTCTCCTTACATCATTTGTTTTAGGCTACTATATAGACACTGAAGCTAAATCTAAAATTTATATAGTGCAACAATTAGAGAACATTCTGATAAAATGTTCAAAGTTTTGGTATATAAATATTTCCTTGACTCAAAATTTAAAATGATATAAACACTAATGCGTCGTTAATAATGAAATGCATATGCTAATTTTTGAGCCCTAAGGAGAAATACCAGCTCTACTTAATCAGAATTTGAATATATCAAAAGGTGAAAAGCTTAATAACGAACAAACCGTCAAGTGCCATGACTCAATGACATTTAAAAAACTGATTGAAAGGGTCATTGTTTTAATATTCCAGATGCACTAGCTGTGCCTGTTAATCTTATTAAATTGACTGGATTGAGAAACTCTTGGGGAGATGATTGTATTGTGATGACAGCATGTAACCCACCAATGTGCACAGCTGAATGTGCTATTAGGAAGCAGCCCAGCTGGATGAGGTGGGTCATTTGGGCACAACTGTGAGTTTATTTCTAGTCTGACTGTTTTCCTATACTGTTTCTCAGGGAGTATGAAGTGAGCAGTTTTCTACATCATATACTTTTACTATGATATTTTTGCCTTGGAGGCAAGTGGTCATGGACTGAACCCTTTGAAACCATGAGCCAACTTAAACTCCCCATATCAGGTGCATGTGTCAGGTATTTTGCCTCAGCAGTGGAAAATCTTATCTGTACGTTCTCATGATGACATTACTCTGAACCATACAAAAAGTACAGACTTTTTTCTAACATTGTGTGTCTACATTAGCTTTCCACTAACAACAACAACAAAACCATCAATTTAAAAGACATGTATTTATTATCTCAGTTTCTATATATCAGAAGTTCCACATCCACATGACTTGCATGCACTCTGTGCTTGGGAGATGACCAGACTGAAATACGCATATTGCTGGCTGGGTTCTTACCTGGCAGGTGTGGAAAATCAAGTGCTTTCAATCTCATTTAGATAGTTGGAAGAATTTGTTCCTAATGATTCCAGGTTTGACTGAAGTCCCCAATTCCTCACTGTCATTCATATGTTCTTTATTTTTCCTAAATGATGCTCACATTTCTATAGTTTTAGCCATCTTCCAGCCAGAGACCACTTGTTGAATCCCACTTGCGCTTCTGACTCTCTTTTACTTTTTTGCTGTTACCCAGAGAAAATCCTCTGCTTTTAAAGTACACACTTGATATGGAGAGTTTAAGTTGGCTCATGGTTTCAAAGGGTTCAATCTATGACCACTTGCCTCCACGGCAAAAATATCATGGCAAACTGGATAGCTTCCATATTTTAAGGCCCAATATTTGTGATTCTAATCACATCTGCAAAAAATTTATAACACTGTTGTGTAAAACAATGCTTGAATAACCAGCAGTCAGGAATTTTGGGATACTACCTTTAAAATTCTCTTCAGCACCATCTCCAGATATTTCTATTGTAAAGCTAATGGTGATTCACTGTGGGAAATGACCTTGATTTTCTACCTTTAGGTCTTCTTAGCAACACAGAAATTATTGATGGGCAGCAATGGTTATGATAACCATAATATTTAATGAAACTATTTTACTATATTTACAAATAGAACAGTTCTTTCTTCATGTCTTCATAAGTGAAAGAGATCAGATAAACAAAAATCACTGACTTTTCTAGTTCTGCTGTACCAAAGAGGCATCTAAATGAATGATTTTGTTGTGGTTTGTTTGCTATATTGAAGAAAAAGAATTACAATGATGCTTAAATGAAATCGGTTATTTTTAGGACATATTTTTAAACAAAACTGTTTTTTCAGTTTTCCTTTGGCTTTAATTTAAGGGAAATATGGGAGAAAATATTATGGGAGACACAAAAATATTCCTCTATATGACATATATGCATTTTAACAAGGTTTGACAATTAACGCTGAGACTAGACAAGCTAGTAACTATTATGCCAACTCTGTACTGTGCTACCTAAAATATTAAGATCTCCACTGTATTGTTAGCATAATATAAAAGATGGTAAAGATACAATAATTTCAGTGGATAGAGGTAGGTCTAGAGTTTACATTTGAATGGTGTTTAATTTTAAAGTTTTAAAGTTAACACATCTTTAGTTACCTTTTTAAATAGTTTTCAAAGTATATACCAAGCATTCTGTTTAGGCATGCAGTATACATTAATTCACAAGTCGATAGCTGGAGAAAATGAATCTTCCACATCAGAGACCAAAAAGAAAGATTAAATGATTTCTTCTAGTTTTAGGGCTGAGTCTTTAATCCTATCTTATTCCATCTCTTTAATGTGTCTTAAATAACAAAGACAAGGCTTCTTGTTTTATAATACAATAAAACAGAGCAAACAGAATTGTCAGAAATAGTCTTGTTTCTTCACATGTGACAGTGACTTTCAAATGATCAAACGCCTTCTTTCAAGTGAAAATGGAGAAACCGTTTATGGGAGGCAGAAGAGACCTTCACATACTTGGCCTCTATAAAACCAGCAGGAAGGTGGAAAGTCGTGAGAGTCAAAGAAAGCATCTAGAAGGTAAAGCTGCTTAGTCTTTAAACAGAGTAGGCATGGGAACATGGAATTATTTGGTGGAACCTATGGAAGTATTCAACTTCTTTTAAAAACAAAAAAGTGAATATGGTGATAATAATAATACAATATGTAATAATAATCCAACAGAGAATATACTCTTTACAGCAACAAGCCACAAAATATAATACAATTTTATTTTATTTTATGGAAGATCAGATCCATAGAAGTTATTTATAATAAGGCCTCACAAGACCATTATTGATAATAACAGCTATAGAATGATATAGAATACCTTTCTGTCCCACAGCCTTCTCTGAACACCATTATTAAAGAATTTATAACAAAATAATTCATGACAAAAATAAAAACTGGCATAACAGGCATCAGTATGCAAATTTGAAAAATGTTAAATGATATTTGGATCAATACTGTGACTGCCTCTGAGTTATGACTTGTATCTAAATGTCCCCCCAGACCTTCATGTGCTCAAAGGTGGGAGTCTGGGAGGTGGCTGATCCTGGGTATGGGATTCTGGGGCTAAATTGTACGACGCTGGGATTAAGATGTGTGAGGCTAGGATTAAGGATGTGTGGTTACTAAATTAGTCCACTATTGGTCTATCATAGTTCTGGGCATGGATAATGGGAAGGCCCATCCTGGGTGTAGGTGGTACCACCCAAAAGCCAGGTGACCTAGAAGGGATAAAAGGGAACATTTTCTGCTGCCACTGCTGCTGCTTGCTTTTTTGTTTCCTTGCCATGAACTATTTCACCTCTGTGATGCCCCTCTGCAGTGCCATTCTGCCTTGACACCAGACAATTACAGACTGAAAGCTCTACAAACTATGAACTGAATAAGCCGTTCCTCCTTCAATTTTTGGTATCAAGTATTTTGAATCAGCAACAAGAAAAGTTACTAAGATATCCTGGAGGAAAACTCCAACTCTAATCCTGGAACTATATGGTCATTTCAAACACCTCACCTTTTAAATGACAGCTTTAATTCTACAGTTGGTCTCTGATTAAATACATTTTTAAAGGATCCAACATTTCTTCCTGTTCAGTTTATAGAGGTTTATTTTTCTTTAAATATTATAAAGTTATTTCATAAGGGGAAAAATCCCACAGCATCCTATTGTCCTTAGATATATTCTGCTTTAAAATTATTTGTATGCAAATATGCTGAGAATACCAATTCTTACCTAATCATTACTGATGACACATATTTTAGAAGTCACGATACGTTCTGATGTATTCTCTGAAAATTTGTAGGATTAATCGTGTCTTCAAAAGGTGGTAGCAGCCAGGGATTTAGCTCAGTGGCATAAGTGCTTGCCTGCTAAGCACGAGGTTGTGAGTTCAGTCCCTGGTACAAAAAAAAAAAAAAAAAAAAAAAAAAAAAAAAAAAAAAATACAGAAAGAAAAAAGATAGTAGCAAATAAAATCTACACATAATACTATTATAAGTATAAAGCTGAAATTCTCTCATCAGTAAATTTGTGGCATAAAGGACTTTGTAGTTATCATGCAGTTCACTTTCTCTTCATAATTTGCTTACAAGGATTTCATGGCAAGTATTGAAACGGTGTTCCCTGATGCATAGCATACTACTACACAAATTTGCAAAACCACCTCTCAACTTTCCAAATTATCAAGAGAAAGCAATGAGCAATTTTGAATATTCTTTATCTCACTTTGAAAATGCTTAGCATAAGACATAGTACTTAGTCTCTGCCAAAAAGATAGTACTATTGCTTTTACATTGAAATTCCAAGTGTGGGTGTTTTGCTGTGGAAAAGGCACGTCTTTGACAGGGAATGTAATGCGTTTAATTATTTACTTATATTTGCATCCCATAACACATTAATTAAGTAGATGATGTTTCAGAAAAAATATATCCAACCTGATGGATAGCAGACATGGTGAATTAGTGTCCTCCCAATACGGAAGTACAGATTCCAAGGGACAATGGAGTTAAGAGTTGGAAAGCTTTAAGAGAAAGCTCCCCAGCAGGGGATTTAGCTCAGTGGCATACGTGCCTGCCTGGCAAGCATGAGGTCATGAGTTCAATCCAAAACTCCTCATAGACAGACAGGAGAGGTCTCAAAAGTAGTGGCCAAAGAGTCCCCTTTTCAGGGTTAATTTATATAGCAAAGTCATAACATGGGTAAAATGTGGATCAAACTCCCTACAACCCATAAAATTATATTGATTCAATAGCACATATTGACTCAACAGATTAATCACAACGGCATATAGAAAACACAAAGGCATTTAAGGGGGCAAGAAAGAGAATATGTGTCCCGATGTCTTGTTCACCTACCTATATGCGTGGGGCCTACCTGGTCCCACTGGTCCAGGTGACACTAATCACAGTACAATCTCAAGTTGCCATTTATCTTATAAGCCTGGCCACTGCATCTCCTGCCTGAGACCTGGTTTTCTATATTCTCCACCAGTCTCAACTGTGATCTCTTTTTCTTAACACTGACTTCCTTGAGGGTCCAGTCTCTCTCTGATAATATATTAATTTAAATCTAATTTTCATGTCTATAATAGGATCTTAAAATAATTGTTTAAGTTACATTTACCTGACAAAATCCAGTGCAGCCAACTTCTCCCTGAAGAATTTTTATTTAGAAGTTTAAACAGTTGAGGTTGATTTTTTAAAAGCCAAATGAAAAAATGTTCAAATCTAATTAAAATACAGAATTCCACCACACCAGGATAATTGCTAATTAATACTGCCAACTTGGAATGAAACAGATTTAAAATGGAATTTGTAATGAAATGTTGGGATGAGGTGTTTACGTCTCATTATTGCCTGTAGAAATCCTTGCTGACTGAATTGTAAATGAGCTAGTACTGCCACCAAGTGTTAGAATTAATTCTTGTCATTTGACATAAATGCATACAAATTCAGATCCATATTGTAATGTGTTTTCAAATTAAGGAAATAATGATAAACTACATCATAAAGCACAGAATCCTTTATATCACCAAATGCCATGTACTGGAATTTTACAATGTCATCAATACCATTAAAGTTTCCTAGACAAAATTGTTACTAGTGAATGAAAAGGGCATAATTCATGCATATTACCAGATTCGCTTCATATGCATGGCAGATAGACTCTACTCTACGGTGATTTGGTGATTTGTCTCCAGTGACATTCTGCCTCCTGGTACCATAGCTTTGCGTTTTCTACTCTCACCCATCCTTACCTTGTATACAGCTGGGATCTGGGCCCTGCTTGTAATTAACTGAACATGGCAAAGGTGATGGCTGGTACAAAGGTCACACCCTTGATTGTCACACATGTGCACACACACAGCATGTATATCTGTATCTATACATATCTATTTCGCTAGGAAAGAACCACGGAGAGTCTTAGCTGGTTAGACGAAGTAGTAGCCCTAGCTGAAAGAGTTCAAGACAAGGAACTATAGGCAATCTCTAGGAGCTATCACTGGTGGAAAGTCTTTAAGACCTGAAGGTGGGCGTTAGCCAACCACCAAGGCAGATCCCGCAGTCATAGTGCTACAGGAAAATGAATTCTTCCAGTAATGTACAAGCAGGATATTGGCTGTGGATTCACCCAGACAAGGCTCTGGGGATGAGAACTCAGACCAGTCAACACCTTCACCATAGCCTGGCAGAATCCTGAGCAGAGGGCTGTACTTGGATTCCCATGACTGGGAACCTTTGAGTTAATAAACATATGTTTTTTCCAGTAACTGAGACAGTGGTGATTTATTATGCAGGAACAGAAAACTAACACAATATATAGCAACACGATGAATGTGTTTTAATATTGAAATGTGAGATTTCATTTTCAGTATTTAAAGACTATAACTCCATTAGAAGTAGGTTTTTAAACTTTCTCAGTTGGATTTCTGACAGCTATATTTAACATGCTCTGATACTAACTTGTCTTGGGTGATTTAAGTGTAGTTAAAAATTCTATTACAATTCTAATATTACAAAAACAAAAAAAATATGAACAATTTGCTTCTCTTAAGAAGCCTGGGGCAAGATAATATTAAGTCAGATTATTTTAGTATGAAGAAAGAATAACAAAAATAAACCAAAATTATTCCTATAAAATGATATCAACTGGTCAAATAACATGTCCTTAATTACTTGGAGAATGAGTAAATGATTTTTATTAAACAACAGGGGAATAATGGAAATTCCACTGGAGTACTACAGCTAATTTAAAAGCTCTTGAATAAAAGTCTCACTCTGTTTAAGACATGTCTCTAGACAATATGGACTATGACCATTTCATTTTGAGTTAGGTAGAAAAGGATCAAAATAACTGCCAAAGGTGTGTCTGTGTCTACAAGTGGGTCCAGCTCAAAGCATCAGCATTCTGTGCTTTGAGTCATGTAGACCTCAATCAACCACTAAGCAACAAAAACTGAATGAAACCAAGAGAAATTGAATGAAGCCTACTGGCAAGTTCCAAGACAAACCTTGGCATCTTGATTAACAACTCCCATTGTGTTTTCAATTTTCAGCCACATAAACCACATTGGTGGACTTTAGGGTCTTCACACATTTGGCTTCTCTAGCATTAAGTAGACTGAGGTTCCTAGCAAGCAATGTTCTATCTTGTATAACCACTTACTAGTGGAAGGTAATAAAGTGACACATACTCTGAGATAGTTGTCCCTCTTGGATGTTTGTACCAAGTGAACAACAGAAGGGCATAGGTTGGTTGAAGCCCATTGTTGCATCAGGCCCAGGGTTTAAGGCCTTCACATTTGTTGTATCAACTACTCCCTAAGTCCAGAAGTTAAGTACTGTGAGAATAATGACAATTACTGAACATCAGTGAGTATCTGTGGTTTGTGCTTTAATAAAATACCTTACATCATTGTCCACACAACCCTGTGAAATAGGGATGAAAACAAAACCACACAAACAGGTTGGCTAAGAGACTCAAGGCTTCCAGAGGTTACTAAACTGAGCTGAAGTTGGATGAACTCTAAATAAAAATCCATCTGCTTAATTATAGTTCTTTAAATCTCCCAATGTGTTTAATGTAGTCAGGGAAGAAGCGAAAGTCATAGTCGAAATAATCTCCTGAAACCAACCCGTAGAACTCTTTCTGGTAATAAAGTTTGTTTCATCAACTGACCTATGCAAGGTATGTTACAATAACCAGAATTCTTTTTTATACATATTTCATCCATCACAAAAGTCCCGTGTAAGGTGGAGTGAGTGGTTAAGAATCCAAATTTTAGGTAGGGCAAAGCTTAAATGCTAGCCCTTAAGTCCATTAGCCATTGGGCAAATGACTTTTCGGTCCCCTAACCTGCGAGGCCTAACAAACTGTGAGGGTAGATACGAGGACTTTGGGGCACCAGGGCACCTATATTGGCTACTTGTGGTCAAGTTTCACATGTGATAATTCCGGATTCCTGGAGATAGAGGAGAGCAAAGAGGCCCTAAGTGTGAAGTGGAACTGCTTCCCAACTGTAGGGCTTTTCTTTGCCCTGACCTACCCACAAAAAAGTAGAACAGGACTTTTTAAATAAATTCCCCCACCCACAGTCGGGTTCAGCTGAAGACCTGCACTCCAAATTCCCCACGCCCCACCTCAACACGATTCAAAACTTATATAAACCGCCGATTGGTTGGGATGGCCAGCGCCCACCTAGCCTTGCCCCTCCCCCCACCTCTCCACTACTGCGTCACAAACGTCCACCAGGGTCCCTTAGCAGCAGCCAGGCCACGCCTCCGTAGGCAGGGCTAACTATCTGCACCCAGATTGGCTGTCGTCATGGGCAACCAAGAACGCAGCGTACACGTCAGGGCTCCAGAAGGTATTTAAGGGCTGCCGCTGCCAGCACCGCCTCAGTCCGGCCAGGACGGCCACCGTGAAGCACCTGGGTTGAGAGGGAGCAGACACGTGAACGCGCACCGCCTGCCTCCCCAGTCCCCAGCCCGCGCCTCTGCAGAGGTGGGTGAATGTGGGACCCGGGAGCGGCTCTCACTGCGTGTCGCCCACCAACACCTTCCTCCCCCACCATCCATCCCAGCCCCAGTCCCATCCAGCCCACCTGGGCAAGACAACCCGGGTGCGAAGGACAAGCGATTAGGAAGAGCTAGAACGCGGAGAAGAGAAGAGAGGGTCCTCCAGGCGAGGCAGGCGCTATCCCAGAGCCAGGCACGCGGCGCCGCGCAGTGACACAGGTTGAGGACGCTCTTCGTGCCGTCCGATCTGGCCACCTTTGACCACTAGGACGCTCCCAGTTCGACCTCGGGGGGGCTCCCGAAATCATGACCCAGACCCTCTTCCAAAAGGAAGACCCTCTTAATCTGGGGGGCGGCTGGTCATCCTCTGCCCACCTAGGCACCTGGTCTTCCTGCCATCGAAGGCGCAGGGGAGCCCCGGTCCACAAGCAACGCTACAGCCACGGCAGCAAGCCCCGCTATGAGCCCCCCAGGAAAAAGTCCAAGCAACAGCATGCCTCAGGCCCTTGGTTCCAGCCACCGCGAAGGCCCTGCTGGTACCCTAACTGGGGGCGCTGCGGGTGGCCCTGGCGCCCCCCTCCGGCGGGATTCCAGAAGCCCCCCTGCCCGGTGGAAATGATGCGGGTGTACGGTCTGCATCCGCTCTGCCTCTGCTGCTGCTCATGCTGGTGTGCGCCCTGGAACCCGGGCTGGGCGAGGCCCCCCGGGAGGAAGAAGCGCTGGGGTCGCAGGGGCCGCCTGCGTCGCCCCCCGCGCCGCTCCTGCCCGAGGGGTCCGCCCGTGGATCTGAGCATGCTGCTGCGGCCGGTCAACCTGTACGGCTGGCGGGCCCCGGGCATGAGGGCGCCGCGCAACACCACGCAGTTCATCATGAACCAGATCTACCAGGACATGCGGCAGCAGGAGAAGCTGGAGCGCCAGCAGAGGGCGCAGAAGGCGCAGCAGGCCCGCGCGGGCTCCTCCAGCGACGACGCGCCCCCCAGCGACAGCGAAGAAAACTCGGTGCTGCCGGAGACCTTTTACAGCTACCTGCAGAATCCCTCTCTAGTCTTGAGTCCTCTGCCGGTGGAGAAAAAAGAATCTCCTGCCCCGCAGCTGATGGGAGAGGAGGAAGAGATGGGAGAGATAAAGGAGAAGGGGGAGCAAGAGGGGCAGGAGGAGGAGGAGCAGGAGGATTACTTGCAGCAGTTTAATGCAGAGGAGGAGGAGTATGAAGAGGAGGGATTTGTTGGAGGGGAAGTGAGCCAGGAGGAGACAGAGGCCGAGGAAGAAGAGGAGGAAGAGGAAGAGGAAGAAGAGGAAGAGGAGGCAGAGGCAATGGATGATTTAGAGGAGGAGGTAAAAGAGGCCAACCATCAGGAAGAGGGGAAAGAGGAAGAAGACAGGCAGAAGCTAGAACAAGGGCCCGAGGAAGGGCAGAGAGGGGAAGAAAACCATTTGCTTCTGGAAATGCCCTTATCTGCCTTCGTAGGGGCTGAAGAAGATGGAGGAAAGGACTTTATAAACTATGCCTACTTAACCCTGGATCAGATGATTCAGGATGTGCCTCAGGAACCTCTGTTCATGATACCGGACATTGACCATTAGCTATGTCCAAGGGAATTGAGGAAAGAGAATTGGTCTGAGATTGAAATGGACTAGAGGCTTATTAAAATCTGGTTTAAAAGTGAGTTCCACTAATAAACATATCCGTGTAAACTCCTTCTTTGGCCATTATAAAAATATTTAAACAATGGTGTGTTGTGTACGAGTGTGAGTGGGGCAGAGGAACTCTCAAATACTATTTTACTGGAAATGATTAAAGAACAAATATTTTACTACTACATCTTGGATATGGTCATTTGCCGTTTCCCCCCTAGACAACTTGTCTACCTAATGAGCATGGGATTAATGTATTTTGACAGTGGCGTACCTAAGAAGCAGATGTGATAGCTGGAAAGTAACTATACTCTAAAATCTGAAGCTATTTTAAAACTACTTTTCAACAGTAGAGTTCTCTGTGCAATTTCCCCCCCTTTCAGAATTCCTTTGTGAAGGTTGTATTTTGGTAACCCACATTGGCAGTTCTGTGTGGCATCGCTCATTTATATTCCTTGTTCCACAGCGCTTTGGATCTTCCTCAGAAGAGCATGGCGTTGCTTCTGTGGAACTGGTTCCCTGCCATGGCCTCAGCAATCCATATCCCATGCAAGTCAACTTGCACACCTGGTTAAAAACCAAGGTAACTGCAAACGGTGGAACATAGCTTAGGGTTTGTACCCCTGTCCCCGGACATATTCCTTGAGTAATAAGTTCAGAGGAACCATAGAGCTTTTAGAGAACGAATTTAAAACAAAAATGACCTTTTGGGCAGTAGAACACTTTATTTTTTTCCCTAAGATTTATAAAGAATAAAAGTTAAAGCCTGCGTGAGATAGTTTCTGAAAATATCTAAATAGTTTGCTGTGAAGAATAAGTCATTCAAACCTGACCCTCTTCAAACATTTCTTAAAGAAATAACATATTTCTTTTTTCCTGGGCATTTAATAAAAGATTCCATCCATAACATAGATAAAGAATTTGATCCTGCCTTTTCCAAGATTGTATTTTTTTTTTTTTAAATTATGCTGTGTAGGACGTAATTAACGGTTACTGGTTGAAGAGAAGACTATATGGTGGTATTTTACCAGGATGTGGATTTTCACTGATTTATGCCCTCTGTGTGCAGCTTTCAAGGTGATAAGTTTAAGTTGTTAAATAATGAAGTACCCTTTTCTCATTTGTTATTTAAATGTCAGATGACTCCACCGCAGTATTTCCATATTCAATAGGATGAAGAGAGAAAAAGGAATCTCCAGTATAAGAATTTTAAAATTACACTTACCATTCCAAATGATAGCAGTCACCAAATATATAATTAGACTCTGAAATCATTACTTTCTATAAGATGTAATTTCTGAATGATCTATCAAAGTACTTTAAATATTATGCCTAGCATTGTAATTTATAGCAGTCAGTAACCAAATATTTAACAATACTCTGAAATCATGACTTCCTGCAAGATGTAATTTCTGAAGGACCTATCAAATTGCTTTGAATTGACCACTCATTTGCCTTTCTATTATTGTTCTAATGAATATGTACAGGGAAAATGAAAATCTCAATCCTAATACTAGTCAATAAATTCCTACAAGGCATATCCTGTAAATATTTAAATGAGACATCCCCTGAAAATCAGCAGGTCAAAGTAAATTATAGTCTTGTTAAAGAAACCCTTTCAATTGGGATTGAGTTTTTCACAGTCACATCTGGACAATCCACAATGCATGATACGTTAATTCACTAATTCAGAATTAACAATATCCTCTAATCACTGTACAGGTGTAAACATGAGCAGTGCTAGAGGATTTTACATTCTAGCCCACAGACTATCATTCCACATTCCTAAATTATTAGGTTCCCAGCATTGTGAACAATGATAATGTTCAAAAATAAAAGAGTAAGTATCTATTCATATGTTGCATAAATTTTTCAGTAAAAAAGACATTAAGAGGAGTATTAGACAAATGGCTCACTGTAGTTATTTTGAAGGAAGTAATCATTATGAAATGATAAATGACGAAGCAAAGAACCAAATCATGAGGCTGGGGGTATACACCATGTGGGAAGAGGGGATGCTGAATCTCAGGTCAAAGCTGGCAAAAGCGTGCTGAGCTCAGGGAACTGAGGACTGAAGGATCAGAGGTGCAGAAGGACCAGCCAGCGAGAAGAGGTATGCAAAAGCCATTCCTACAAGCTACCCACAATTCCTGTGCTACCCAGAGTTTCTAAGATAGACACCGGGAAAATTATGAATGAAAAATTAATAAATGATGAATGATTTTTTACTTGGAACTTTTTATTAGCCAGTTATGATGATGATGATTTACTAACCCTGTAGAGTAATATGAAATAAGTGACAATGAGGGCTAGAAGGATCGGCATCCCAGTGCTCAATCTTCATATTTCTCTGATGCCTCCCTTCATGTGGTCACGTAGTAGAGTGGCATGGGTTCCAGTACTCAGCTTGGTGGGAGCACCAAGTTCTCAGCATCCATTGTAAACCTTTGCACAACTTGTTGGATTCAACTTGATTCACTAAGATTTAAAATCTTAATATGACCCAGAATACATCCCCTCATAGAAATATGTATTTTGAAGAAAAAAAATACCAGTTTCCAAAGAAAGCTCATTATGATTATTTCAAATATTGACAGAGTGGACATGGTGATAAAGAAATGTTATGGAGGTACTACTTTACAAGAACTGGGATACTGCCAATTTTCAGGGGGAAAACACTTAGAAATTCTAGGCTTATTGAGCACATTTTATACCTGTTGTGAAGATTTTTTTTAAGAGTGGAAATTCTTGTTTTTTTCTCTCTTGACTGACAGCATTTTTGATTTACCCTTATTATTCTGTCTCCACAGAACACATTTTTTCCTGTGAAAAATATTAGTCCTCTGAAGATAGTAAATACACCTGACAGGTCAATTTTGAGTTCTGAGTATGATACCATAAAATTTTATCACATCTGTATATAAAGCAGACAGCATTTCAAAATTATTTAGTTCTATTAAAATACATACAAAAGATGAAATCAGTCTATCATGAACTACACCAATTGTATATATCTTGGAAATAAATAATACAAACTTCACCTCACAGGAATTCATGGGGCAAGGGAGTAGATAAGACAAAGAAAACTTCTTGAATGGATTTTGGATTTTAAAACATAAGGAAATAACACAGCATAAGAAAATAATAAGTGAAACTATATTATATTGGACAGATTCATATGAAAGAAATTAAAACTTGAGTAACTTTGGCCTGAATTTTCTGTATATTTAAAACAAAAATCAGTGTACTGTTGTGACTCAGCTCGTTTAGTATTAACATTTTTCTTATAATTTGATAGCATCATCTCCAAACTGATGGAAGGTAAGAAAAGAATTTGGGCATAGGTAGAGAGGCCTTGATGTCCTTGAGCCCAGGTTACCTGTGACATTAGGCAGTTACCATGGCCTTCTCCTTCCTCAAGTTAATATTCTGTTATCATTTAGGCTTATTGTGGGCACCAAATACAATGTCTAATTGGTTCCTTATTGTTGAGCAGAATACTCAACACCCAAAAGTTAAATGAGGAAAGGTTTCTTTTAGCTCAGTTTGTATAACTTTTCATCTGTGGTGAGCTGCTTCCAAGGCAGTTGAGGTTGGCAGAGGAGAAACAGCTCATGGCATAACAGGCAAAAAAAAAAAAAAGTCCTCACAATTCTGCCTTTCCTCTTTCTCTTTATACTGCACCGGGGTACAAGCCTATTGGTTGGCATCATACCCAGGATGTGTCTTCTGTCCTCAGTAAAGTGATTCAGTCACATCCGGAACTATGTCAGTCCAATCAGTGGACCAATCCAGTGATCAGGCATCCATAATTCTATGTCACACACTGTCTTACTTTTTTTCTCATGAGTCCACTCCTGGTTGGGTGAAACACATCACCAATCCATGCGCTAGACAAAGAACCAATCACAAGTGCTAGATTTAGTCCAGTCCATAATTGCATGAGGCTTGGGGACCACTGACATAAACCATAACACACACCCATCACCCTAACACATCCCCAAAGCCCTACGTATTAATGTATTTTGGGGGATAGCAAGATAAAAGGCCTAACACCTACTATCGAAGAAGAATCATACTATGGACTGCACTATGGCTTAGGGTTAAAGCATTGCCCCAAAGCTTCATCCATTCAGAAGTGGAGCTTCAGGAAGGTGATTGGATATCAGGGGCACTATAGTCACTGGTGGCTTCATCCAATGAAGAGTTTAGTGCCTCAATCTACTGTTAAGAGGAACAGCTGGTTGGAGAAAGGAGGCTGTAGGCTGGGAGAGTTTATTCTTGTTCCCATTTCCTCTCTGTCTCTTGCCATGGGTTTAGCAACTTTTTTCGCTGCCATGTAGTTTCTGCCTTGGAGCCAGCCAAACATGCACTGAAACCTCAACACAGAATAAACCTTTCTATCTTTAAAATGCAGATGTTGGGAATTTGTTCCCAGTGATAGGAAAGAGAATGATACAGACTGTAAAAAAGTATCAATCATCATATACTAAACTTCAAAATATTAGTCAATATACAATGAACTTCAGTTTAGAATTAAAATTAACCCAGTTAAATTCTGAACATTCTGTCATCAGTCTAAATTCTTTAACAATGCTCAGGACAATCTCATTGCAATTCTGTTCCGTTGAAATATCCAGGTATTCTACTTTAGTAGCTATCCTAAATAAGCATGAACTAATTTGTCTTTGATATTTAGTTTTGACTGCTGGTCACATTCATCTGGTCCTTTGAGGTTTAAAGTGTGGTCCAAGAACTCGCAGAATTTGTAGCACTTAAGAGCATGTTAGAAGTGTTTAAGCTCGAACTCACTAGACTATTCCATTAGTGTGTGTTTGTAGCTAGATCTCTAAATCACAAGCATGTACATTAAAGACAATATCTGTGGTTTTCAGATATTATACCCATTGCAGAACCATGATGGAAGTTTAATGATTAAGACTTTAGCATGCACATTCAAAATTTTAACATACAACTTTTGTGACCTCAAGGATGTTACCAAAAATTTTGACTTCTCGTTCTCCTCATCTGTAGTGCCTCAAGATTATGCAAATTAAACTAAT